AATATTTGAAAAATGAAATCAGTGATACCAATAGCAATCAAGGCTTAACTACAACAAGACTGTGCACCCAGCCCACAAACGAGTGCACCCAGCCCACAAACGAGTGCACCAAGAGAGTCCACCTCAGGTAATTAGGGAGGCTGAGTCACTGGGCCCTATACACTGAGTGGCCAGATTATTATGACCACCTGACGTGTAGGCAAATTAGCTATAATTTCGAGCTGAAGTTGCTAGAGGGCCAGACCATTATAAACGTCTGAATAGCACAACATACCTAAGTATTGTTGCTGATCAAGTTCATCCTATCATATTGATGGCGTATCCCAATGGAGATGGCTTCTTCCAACAACATAATGTGCCATGCCACAGTGCTCTTATTGTGCAGGAGTGGTTTCAAGAACATGAGGGAGACTTTACCTTGCATAGGTGGCCCCCGCAATCAGCAGATCTCAATCCAATTGAGCATTTGTGGGACAAAGTTAAAAGAGCCATCAGGCAGCTGGTTCCACAACCATCAAATCTCACAGAACTGGACAGTGCTATTCATCAGGCATGGTGTCAGATTCCTTGCATCACCTTTCAACATCTCATGGAGTCAGTGCCAAGAAGAATCACTGCAATATTGAAGTCAAAAGGTGGCCCAACGAAGTACTGATGTGGCGGTCATAATTATCAGGCCAGTCATAATAATCTGGCCACTCAGTGTAGGTCACCTAGCACACAAAGCCACTCTATCAACATAGGGAAGTAGCCAAAATGTGGAAACAAAGAAACAGGTCACAAATTAAAGAAATGGAGGAAAGCAAACTAATGGATATTGAGTTCAAAACTACGGTTATAAGGTTACTGAAGAATCTTCTAGAAACCTCCGAGAAATTTAGTGAGAACCTCAAGGACATAAAAAAGGACCAATTAGAAATTAAGCATACACTGACTGAAATAAAGAATAATATACAGAGATCCAACAGCAGACTAGAGGATCCCAAGAATCAAGTCAAAGATTTGAAATACAAAGAAGCGAAAAACACCAGACCATCAAAGCAAAAAGAATAAA